AGCTAGCTTGTACTTTCTCCGCTAACTCATCATTCGACATCTCCTCCATCTGCTCCTTTATTCCCTCTATATTCACTCTCGCTTTCTTAAATAATTCTTGGTCGCTATACTGTCGTATTATTTTTTCTCTGTCTAATTGAAGAGATTCGCTCCTTCGCTTCGTTATATCTAAGTATGGCTTCCCTTCTTCCTACGTATTCCCCTGTGGTTCCACTTTTCTTGTTTTCAGCGGATCCCCTCCTTTCCACCTTTCTGGTGGAGAAGCGTCCGAGTTGTCAAGTATAATTGCTCTTCTGTTTTTCTTTCGGTTGCCGACGATTTCAACGTCCATCTCGCTATCTGACGAGCTGATCTCGATCGCTTCTTCTGTCTCCATTGCGGGCGAGTCCATGCTGCCAGTATCCTGTGTCATGAACCTTTTCCAGGTTTTCTGAAGAAACCTTTAGTTCCTTTCGTCCTTATTTCTTCTCACGTTACTTCCACGCGTACCTCTTGTAGAAACGTCCCTGCCTCTTCTTCGTTTCTATCCTTCGCTTCCTTTTTTATTTTTATTATTATTATTATCCATGTGTATCATCGATTCTGTTCCCCGTATCGGCTGCGTGGTTCAGGGTATACCCTACCAATCAGAAGATAAGCCCCCAAGTTCCCCCGGAGAAACCGCATATACCGCTGGTTCGCAGAATTGCATCGCGCACGCTGGGTTCCGGACCCCTACTAATTTCGGACTATGGTGCAAGGCCCTCAATTTTCGGGATTCCCCTGGCTCCGACACCAGGGGCACCGACACGGGTGGCGCCACCCAAGGGGCCCCACGGACAGTTTGGGCATGGTTCGGCGTCTCCCCCGCACCCTCCCCGCCGCGGCGACCAGCACGCCTTTTGATAGATGTCACGTCATCCATCAATTGGCTATTGTTTCTCCACCCGGTTCTCGCTTTAGTTGACGCCGTCGCGTAAATCCGGGCACCTACCTCATCGTCATCCTCTTTTCACCCCATTCGAGGGGCAGGCGGACACGCCGAGGGTGCGCCTCAAATAGCACACTGTGCCACGCGGGGCACATAAGGCCCCCCTGGCGC